ATGCCGTGCGAGTTGCAGCTGCTAGATCCACCAGGTGACACAATGATCAATGTGTTCGCTTTCATTGATCTCGTTGTCGTCCCTGTTATCTGAATTGTTCGTTTTTTTCATAACGACTACTAATTTCTACATATTGTCAATCTGTGCGCAGACTTCTGTCGTTTTATGCGCTGATGCGGGTTTCCTGTTTGCGTATTTGTGGTTGTCCTCTCATGAGGTCCTGTCTTGAAGACCTCATACTTTTCTGGAGTGCGTTTCCTCTTCCTTTACTTGTTACTACTCAGCTTATCCGTTTAGTTCTTGGTGTGGCGTTTATCTAAAATCACTAATTATTTGTTCGCTCGTTGTAGATATTTGATCAAATGCCGGACCTCGTTATGCGAAAGTTGTCTGCGCTGATCTCTTTCACAGACTGGATGCAAGCCTGCCAAGTACTGAGAGCCTGGAGATCTTATCCACCCCAAACGCTTACTCTCTCCGACTCTGATATATGGTACCGACTCCCTGCCAAGGTCAGAGTTCCAACAGACTACCGCTTATTAAGCATCGACACAGAAAGTGGTGGACCAATTGGTCCCTTTGGTGCATGTCCCGTGCTCCTGCGTGCAATCCCTAATTTGGGCCTCTCCTTGCACTATGTAACCTCTGTTGATCTCCGCAGTCAATGCAGCAGTTTTCTACAAATCCTTCAGCTCCTTTCGAGAGACTGGCCCTCTTTATCTTCTCTTTCTGTTCGAATAGCACAATCGAGCAACATCTCATTTGGCGGGTTTTGTCCCCCAAAAGCCACAGTATTTACCGTCGTACTTCCGAAGCTAGCTCATGTCATTTTGTGCATAATGGATGTCGGCAGCCTCTACGATCCAGGCTTTGGGTCATTTTTTGCCCTTATCGGATCCGTGACTCACCTCGTTTTGGATACGAGGCATGTTCCATTCGTCACTCAATCACTTATCGAGCCACCCACTGCCTTACCTAGGGTTATTCATCTCTCCATTCCCCCTCAAAATCCCCTTGTGGGCGAACAAGACCTTCCCCGGTTCTTTCCTAACTTATTGAAAATCACCTGGCTGGCCTTTCGCGAAGATGTAACTCTTAGGTCAGTCTCATCATGGCCCTGGGAAATAGAAATTTCGTCTGATTGCGAATCAGCGCTACCACTTTATCCCTTAGGGTCTCCGAAGATCCCCCTGCAATTCGTCAATGCTGCATCAGTTGCCTTGACTTCTCTTCCATGCTTACTTCCGAATAGTTATTCAGTACGATCCCTAAGTCTTTTCTTGAATAAGTCTGATTTGTCAAGAACTGAGACGCCTGCGGAAATGGAAGAACTATGCAAGTTTTCAAATGTTCACGACCTCGCGCTGTTTCTTTATGAATCCGGTCTTATTGACTATTGGAAGGTGCATCC